TAAACCACAAATTGCGCTTGCAAAAGAGCATTATATCGGAACATCAAAAGGAACAATTATGTCAAGTACTCTGCTAATAGAATCTGAAGATTTTCATTTGGAAGTAAGACGAAAAATATTTCGATGAAAATAAATTTAAAACTGATTAATTCTGATATTGCATTTTAGTTTAACGGTTTTTGTGCATGGACTCTTTTCTTCGCTGAAGGTTATTTACTTCCTGGATCTCCTTCTGCCGGATATTATCAATATAACGATCAGTATTATGCCTTTGCAACAAAATCAGGTCAAGAAATGTGGAGCAAAGATCCTAATTATTACCTAATTAGAATTTATGAATTTTTGCGATTGAATACGGAATTGGTTGGCCTCCTGAACGCTTATGAAACTTTATACAACACAAAATCTCTTCAAACGTGAGTTTAAAAAAAAAAAAAAATAAAAAATAAAACTTTGAAATTGAAAAAGCTTAAAGAACTTTAACATGTAAAATGATTGACAATAAATATCAATTTTTTAAAAAAATATTTTCATCCTTAGTGAAAGGAAAACTGGTAAAAAAGTAGTCATTCGAACAGAAAACACTCAGACAATTTTACATCCAATTCCAAAACATTGGGATAAAGATTATACATTCAGCGAATGGGAATTGAAAAAAAGAGCTCTGACATTATCCAGATTGATTAAATGTGTCACAAAATCAGTGCAAACAGTTAACCATTCTCATTTTCGATCTTCTATTGGTCTTACAGCAGCCCCAGATAAAGATAAAGATGTTCAAACAATGAGAGATAGTTCTTGTGTTCATTCAACAATATCTGCATATCTTTATGGTCTTAGAGGTCATAAAGAAAATAAATTTAGAACAATAACTCTTACAAGACCAGTAGAAGAAGACTGCCAAAGAATAATAATTTCACAGAAAAGTAAATCAAGGACAAAAAACGATGAAAAAAAAGTTAGCGAAGAAATTAGTGATAAATTGGAACCTAGTAAACAAGATGTTTTATATACAATTGACAGTAAAAGTTTTACTGAAAGTAAGAAGAGTATTTTAAATAGTACTGAAGAAACTTTAAAATAAATTAAAGTTACTCTATAAATAATATGATAAATTGAAAAATTAATCAAAGCATAAAAACTAATACAAAATTTTCATTTCTACCGAAAAATAGAACAAATGCATGACTTTTTTTTAATCATTTGTGCTTAAAAATTAAAAAAATTACCTCTTGGAAAAATTATTCCTATAATTCTGTTTAAAAAAAATTGAATTTTAAATAAAATAAATTTTACATTCTTAATAAATTAAAACTAAAAAAATAATAATGTTTTTTTTTCCCCCCCCCCCCTTAAAAATGAAATTATTACATTTGTTTAAACTTACCTTTTTATTAATGAAATCACAGGCCAGTTCTTTTAAATTTTTAAAATTTAAACTGCTAATTGTCACACTAACAGTATCTCTAATCAAACCAAATTGAAACAGAAAAGTAATTTCTGGATCCTCCATAATGCCACTTCTTTACTTCTACAAAAAAAAATTTTTTTTTGCATTTTTAAATATATATTAATATTCATTTTTTTTTTAATTTTGACTAATAAAGTTATTAAATCATTGATTTATAGTTAAAAAAATTTATAAGCTAATTAAATATAAAGGCAAATTATATATAAAAAAAAACAATTTATGATATTAAATGATAGATTAAGAAAAAAAAAATTATTTTAAGGTGTAAAACGGTACTTTACGATTGTGTCATTGTATCACGTTTTTTAAATCATAATTATAAAAATAAAATCACTTTTATAATTTTACATTTTCGTGATTTAAAATAACATATAAAAAGATTATTATCGACGAAAAATTTAATTTTTTTTTTTTTTTTAATGTCAGATTAAATCAAAAATATATTCTTATACGTAGTAAACGGTTAAGTGAATTTATACCTTACTTTTAGAAAAATCACTCGTCATTGAATAAAACGAATAACCATTCTTCAGTTAAATAATAATTATTAACTTCTTTTTCCGAATTATACTTAATATTAAAATATTTTGAAAAAAGTATCTAAAATTACTAATAAAAAACTAATAAACTCTCAACTTTGGATTTCCCCATTCAGGAATGTTGTTTTCATTTTTGCCAACCTATTCAAAAAAAATAATTTATTCCATAAATTAGCAAATGAAAAAAATTTTTTATGGAAGTTACAAAGGTGTAAAGGAAAAGTAAACAGTTAAATTCTTAATATTTTTAATTTCGCTTAAAAAAAACAAATTTTTTGTTAAAATTAATATAATTTTTTAATTTCCCTAGTTAATCCGATGATCCGGGTGAGCGGTTTTCATAATTTTTGTTTTTCAATGTAAAAAAAAAATTTTTTTTAAATAATTTTTTAGATCAGGATGTAAAAAAAAAAATTACTGATTAAAATTAATTAATAATTTTAATAAAATAATCAATTTTTTTTTCGATAAAACTTGTAATTTTTATTTTTCGATTAAACGATTATTTAAAATTAGCCGTAATTATGAGATTAATATTTAAAAATACTTGTTATTTTTGTTACACATTTGTTATTTGTTAATTGAGGTTTATAGGCAAAATAAATTCATCAAATATTTAAAATACGTCTATTATATAAAATATACATATAAAATTAATAATAAAGAATTAAGTATCAAAAATCAGTCTTTTAAGAACAAATTTGAGTATACTGAGATAAATGGCCTCAAAATTCCCAAGACTCCAACCACCTTAAATTATTCATTTCGCTATAAGTTTCATTTCCTTCACTTATCATGCCGTAAGCCAATGGTGAAAATAGATAAAAACTAAAAAGTAATATTTCAATAAGTTAAAATTTTAAATTTGTTTCAATATTTACATCTAATTTTATTTTTTATCAAAAAAAAAGGAATCATCTATTAAAAGTTTTCTTAAAATTATAAATACCTGTAATAAGTACTTGACAGAATAATTCCAAGGCTCCAATGATATAAAACATTAGTCCAATTTTCAGAAAAGAATTTAGATATAGCTTGCAAAAAATAATCAATAACTACTCCAGATAGCATTGATGAAAAATATACAGCTGGAAAATAGTGATGAAAATATAAAACTCTTGCCATTGTCCAAAATGGAGCATAGTGAACAAACCATCCAATAAATAGCCAAAGGCATGCGTTGACCATTCTTTTTCGAGATTCTGATCATTAAAAAAAAAATTTCATTGGTAAAAACATCAAACGAATAAACTATAATTTAAAAAATTTTTTATTCAACTTACCTGTGATTTCTTTACTTGTGGTGATTCCTCTTTTACTTAGGATTGCATCATAAAAAATAATCAAGACAGCAATGGGTAAAAGAGATAAATTACTCCACCAAATGATTGGATTTCCTAGTAAGTAAATTTTGTAATTGCTTCCAGAAAAAAACTGTCCCTAAAAAAATTGTTGTCATAATTTAAAATAGATAATTATAAATACAAGAAGTGTAAATATAAAAATATTAAAATTAGAATCAAAAAATCTAAAATAGTAAATATAACTGTTATATGTACTCGATAATTTAAAGGCCATTGCCAAGGGCGTGATGTAACTTCTCCTTCTTTAGGTTTTAGGCCAGCATTTCCTTGAAACATAACGGCATGCGATTCGAAAAATCTCTCGAAAAATCCTGGAGCGTAAACATCAAAGCTTACATTAGGAACTATAATTTAAAAAAAAAAATTTTTTTCCATTAGATAAAAATTTGCAAGTTTAACGTATAAAATGCATCAGAAGAAAATTAAAACAAAACATATTAAGTACTTTTAATTTTTTATAGAGTTTAATAATTAAAATTTACTTACGTTTTGGAAAAAAGTTATCCTCTACATTCCAGAGTGCATTTACATCTCTTATATTTGGATTACAAGTGACTTCTTGTTGTTCATAAGCCCATTTTGGTAATTGTTTTGAAGTCGTTGTAAGAATACAATGTTGTAAGTAATGAATAAACTTTACTTTACTAGTTACGGTTTTGACTGGAATTATTTCATCGGTTCCATCAATAATTACTTTCCAAATATCATTAGCATCTCCCGTTCCGTTCTAACAATAATTTTAATTTATTTTAAAAAATCCATTTAAGTACATATATATATATATATTATTCAACGATTTGTATTTACCTCCCCATATCCTGTAACTTGAAAATGCTTCTTCGTTATGGGAGCTTGTTCTTTATGTGAATGCAAATTTCTTTTAGTTGTAATATGCTCCAATCTTATTAAATCCCCAT